CTTTTTCAATGTTTACCTTTATTTATTCCCCTTTCATTTTTTAAATCTTTGGACTCTGTTATTTCTACATTTATTTGGAATGGTAAGCACCCCCGCCTGCGTAAAGCATACCTTCAGAGGTCTAGATGCAATGGCGGTATGTCCTTACCAAACTTTAAGTTTTACTACTGGGCAGCTAACATACGAAATATACTGTATTGGTGGCATTATCACATTTTTCCCAATAGACCATCCTGGGTGGACATGGAAATAAATGCTCACAAGCAAATTTCCCTTCCAGCTGTTCTTGCAACTAAATTACAGTTAATCTCTTACACTCCGGTTGATTGGCCAGTGGTGAAACACTCGTTGAGGATTTGGACCCAATTCAGGAAATCATTTGGTTTTCAGGATCCTTCTCTCCTTAGCCCTGTTGCCCATAATCACTTTTTTTTGCCTTCAATGCAGGACGGATCATTTAAGAGTTGGTCCGATAAGTGGATAAAATGTTTTTTGCTTCTACTAAATACTGAGCAAAGGGTCTGAATACTTAGGACCATGTGATATTTCAGTTTTTCTTTTTTAATAAATCTGCAAAAATGTCAACAATTCTGTGTTTTTCTGTCAATATGGGGTGCTGTGTGTACATTAATGAGGAAAAAAAATTAACTTAAATGATTTTAGCAAATGGCTGCAATATAACAAAGAGTGAAAAATGTAAGGGGGTCTGAAGGGTCTGAATACTTTCCGTACCCACTGTATGTGTAAGTCCTTGCTTTCTCCTCTTTGTTGGCACGTAGAGCAATACTATTAAAGTGGAAAGATCCCTTCCCACCCACCCATACTCAATGGATTAGAGATATGATGTCCTGTCTCTGCCTTGAAAAAATTAGGTATTCACTAAAAGGGTCAGAAAAACAATTTTTTAAGATGTGGCACCCTTTTATTGACTATGTTGATAAGTCTGTTTACTTTTTTCTCCTTTTCTTTTTGTAATGTATTTTATTTATTATTATTCCCCCCTTTTTTTCTCTCTCATGTGAGTGTATGTGCATGTATCTCTTTTTATATATGGTCGGAGGTTGATTTATGTTGGCATGTGTATATACAGTGGTGTGAAAGTGTTGGCCCCCTTCCTGATTTTTTTATTTTTTTGCATGTTTGTCACACTTAAAAAGATTCAGATCATCAACACATTTAAATATTAGTAAAAGATAACACAAGTGAACACAACATGCAGTTTTTAAATGAAGGTTTTTATTATTAAGGGAAAACAAAATCCAAAACTACATGGCCCTGTGTGAAGAAGTGTTTGTCAGCCCTGTCGATCCTCAAAAGCTAGACATCATGCCGAGATCCAAAGAAATTCAGAAACAAATGAGAAAGTAATTGAGCCCATTTCATTCACTGACGTTCTTCGATCGGCAGCTTCAAACCCGGAAGTGCATATACTTACTTTGCCGGCAACCTGCCAAAATAAAAGCCTGCTGATTTTAAGTTCGAAAATGATGAAAATTAAAAGAAGTAGTAGTAAATATTAACTTTTTATTTTTAATTTTACTATAAAGTAATTGTATTTGTATTTAATACTTCCCTTTAATTTTTAAATATAACAGTATTATCACACTTTATTATTTAGTTTATTAAAAAAAAATTTTTAACTAAATAAATAAAGTGCAATATTATTATCAATCTTATTAATTTATTTTTTAACAGTTATATTTAATGGGTAACAGTATATGCAGTGTGAGGACCAAAACAAATCTCCAGGTTCTCATATGAGAACCAGGCTGAAAAACTTATGTGCACCCCTGATTATAATCATTGATGCTGTCTGACTACACTGGATACGACACGACAAACTCCTGACATTAACTGATACCTCTTTATGATGAACTGACACAAAGTTCAAATGATTTACAAAGGTCGCTTTGTTGTGTCCAGTGTAGATGGACTTCAGGGCCATTCAAATGTCATGCCTAAAAATGCAGGAAAAAGCCAGCCGCGCAACTTTCTCCTCCTTTCCAAAGCACTCGGGAGCTTGCGCTTTTGTGGCTTATGCGGTGTAGACACGGTGTCTGTGTCAATGAAAACGATCAGTATAAATTTAACGATCAGTATACTAAACATCGCACATCCTGCAATATGACTATCGTGGATGCGGCATATCGCGATATCGATGCAGAAACGATATATTGTGCAGCCCTAATTTATATATTCAAATTAAAATCTTACATTGAATGTATTCATTAATTAAACATTTATTACTTTTTTTAATAATATTTATATATTATAATTAGGGTTGCAGAGTGGCGAAAAGTTTCCGGAAACTTTTCAGAATTTTTCAGAAATTTACTGGAAATATTTCACCCCTTTGCAACCCTAATTATAATACAGTGTAGTATAGTATATTATGGCATGTATCAAATATTCTAAACATATCTTTGAAACCTTGGTCAGTGCAAAAGTGGATATTCACTGTTGAGCTCTTACCGAAATCTGATTTGAATGTGTTGCTCAAATGCAAACGCATAGATGAGTAAAGCCAGAGTGAAATAAGTTTTAGTCTTGCAATCGGCCTTCAGTGACCTTCTTCCCCCTGCTGTGTGGGATCCTGGGGAAATGTCATGTCAGACTTCCTCTCGCCTGCTCAGATTGATATAAACGTGGGCCGCCTCTGACCTCCAGTGCTCTGTGCTCTCCATGCAGTTAAAACCAGCACACTTAGTCCTTTGTTCAGTCATTTTGAGCATGCTAACTCGATTCGCTGGAAAAATGATTCATTTACAGGCTCCGTGCCACAAGTTCACAGACAGGTTTTTGTTTTAAGAAGTTGTTAGTTCTCTGGATACACTTTTAAAAGGTGGAGGTAAATGACACATACAAAATGTATGGTCTATAATGACCCAATGACCATTTGCGTTTTACTCCCTAAGTGCACCAGCTGGTTATTTTGCTTTTACTTGACGCATTAGAGACGGCTCTCATCTGTCAGGTATGCATACTGAAACCTAGCGATTTGGATGCTGGGAAGGGCATTTAGGTACTTGTCGAGTACAAACAGCATTTCCCTGAAGTAATGAGCTATATAAAGAAAGTTATAGTTTTTTCTGCTCTTCGTCCTGTAAAGGATACAATTGAGAACTGTTTTAATGTTCACTTGTATTTGAGTCTCATTGCAGTCAGATAATACTGCCGGACATATTGTGGTTAACTTTTTTTAAAGGGATAGATCACCCAGAAATAAATAAATAATTCTGTCATTTACTCACCCTCAAGTTGTCTTCTGTTGAACACAAAATCAGATATTTTGAATAATGTTGGGAACCAAATAGGTAGCCATTGACCTCCGTAGTATGGATAAAAATACTGTGGTATTATAGTATAATTATATTATAGCTATAAAAAATTTTTTATATATTTTCAGATTGTATTATTATTATTTTGCTTTTGCTATTTTTATTAAATATTTCTATTTAGCTTTAATTTATTTGATTTCAGATTTAGTAATTTTTAAGGGGAAAAATCATCCAAATCAGTTTTTCCTTTAATAAATATATTCAAATTTATTTCAGCTGTGCTTAAATTACCAAAAAAGATTTTTAATAGTTTTAGTTTCCATTAACAGCACTGGTCCCAAAAGCATTTTATTGCTATCTCGTTCATTTTCAGTGAATCACCTGTATTAAAAGAACATGACACTGGAATGTTGGATGAATATATTTTTCAGGATAATCTAGTTTATAAAATATGTGGCCTGGCCTCATTGGTGTTAATTTCCGACTGGAACAATGAGAGCATCAGTTAGTGGTGTTTCTCAAGGCATGCATCAAGTATTACTCACACTTTAGCATCAGAGGTTTGTTTAAATCCCTAACCTTAAGCATTAAGCTTTGTTGTGTAACTCGTCCCTCACCGTTTGCTAAGGCTACAGCTATGATTACTGCTTGAAATTATACTGCTTATTGTTGAGAGAGGTGTGCTGTTATTTACCGAGTTTTACTTGTCTGGCAAAAAAATCTGTTTTGAATTTGTTAATTTATGATTCCTTAATGTTTTTATATATTATATATGCACAATATATATAAATATAATCTAAATATAACCAAAATCGTGATGATTTTTATTTTATAGCCACACTGATACATAATTACAAAAAATTGGTCAAATTGTGCCGCCCAATAAACAAGCAAACATGGACTTTTAAAAATTTTTTTTATGAATTTTAGATCACAGTTTTTATCAGAAATACAGTTGCAATACATATTTTCCCCCAAATTGCACAGCTCTAATATATATTAATATATGTATATTATACGGATGAGCTCTTGCTCTGGTGTATTGTAATGGGGATGGTGCTTTTTGCCTGTTCTTATTCTGCCTCTAGGCAAGCAAACATGGCCCGTCGTCCCGATTCTGCCACGTCCACTGCAGCACAGACACACTTTCCCTGACACAGACCTCTCTGGAGACTCGCTGTTTATTTATTAATTTCTGCTTTTTCTCTCTTTTTTTGCCTGCAACAATAAAGCCACCTTTCTCTGTACCTTTCTTACAATTTGAAACTTCCAGTCTAGATAAAAACCATTCAGGAAAGGACTGAATTATAGTAATATAGCCTATTTCAGTCATAAAAAGTTGATCAGATTAAGCACTTGGGACGTTAAGACCAAGGGCATTAAATCAGACTTGAAGCAAATTGAAATAATTCTCATTGTTAAGGCCTAAATGGAGCTTATTTCCAGTCTGACACGTTTATGTCCTATATACGAAAGATAAGGATTCCAGTGCCAGAAAAGTGTGCTTTCCTATAACATCAAGCTCAGTGCTTTTTATTTTAGCCGATCATGCAATGAAGGGTTGTGTGCAGCTTTAGTAACATTACATTTATTGCTGTCAGAGTTTTGGTATCTCTGTTAGGAAGGCTTTGGAAGCAGTTCAGACTAATTACTTTGGATCAGAGGTTATCAGATTAATGGGCAATAAATGACATGATCTGTTGTGCTGTGGTTTTCTTACAGAGGGAGATGAAGGAGCAGCTGGCGACTCTACAGGACAGTGAGAAGGGTCATACGGAGGCTTTGCAGCTACTGCAGAGACAGCTCACCGAAACCAAGGTACAATCCTGTCAGTGCATGTTATTCTGAAGAGAAAAATCACCAATTTAACCTGGTGCTCCGTAAAACACACAATTTTCCCGTGGGCTTCCATTAAGGGCCCAACCCTAGCCATATAATGATTGAAGTGAGTGCTGTTTGCTGCTGTCATTTTAAATAATGCTCCACTCCCTTGTAATCAGAATCATATTATGATATGTAATAGGTATAGTAGTCTTTATTG